GTAACTTCGAAATTTTTTGTCTGTCCCGCCGCGTAACGCGTGATTACAAAACTATTTTGAAAACAACAATTGATTACAGTCAGGGATATTACCAAATACGGTTCCCGATTCCTAGTATCGGTATAATAGATTCTGATACAAAATAAACATCACATTAATTATTTGTTATGTATCACATGCATGCATAAATAGTATTTTAAAAATTGATTCGCATTATTTGTCACAAAAATTATATCACATACGACACGACCAATCAATGGATATTTAACCATGCTCGTATTAACAGGATAATACGCGTCTTTTCTCTCATTCAGATATGTAAATCATATTTTGTTTTTTTGAAATCCATATCTCTTCTTTCAATGTTACAAGAAGCCATTTTAGAAAAACTTCACCATCCAGACTATTGGAGGAAGTCATACCACGAATGGGAATTGAAAAGTTGGACCAGGTTCTTCAAGAAAACAAGACCCGATGAATCACTGCAAGCATGTCATGAATCGTTTGTTGCTGAATTAAAAACGTTAATAGAAAATTTAAACCCTGAAACGCGTGAAGCAAAGAAAGCTCTAGCTTTGAAACGAGACTTTGGGGTTAGTGTTTAATTAACGGAAAGTAGTGAAGTGTGCTACGCCCTGTCCCGCTGGTATGGGGAAGAAGAGCGTCCCAGCCGTTGTGTGCCCCTTGTTAAAAAGGCTGTTTGATCTTTGTTTAATTTTTGTCAATATTATTCAAAAAATGTTTGGAATGGAGTCGTTATAGGTATAGTCTTTGTTTAATAAATGTAGCAAAAGCGTCTGTTTCACTTAATTAGCACAAGTTTAGGAAGCACACCAGCGAGTCGTAATTTTTGTCAATATTATTTGAAATTCTTGGAATGAAGTCGTTATAGGTAGCAAAAACTAAACAAAGATCCAACAAACTTTTTTATAAGCTTTGTATCACTTCCTCTGCGATGTTGCACATCTTTACTATGGGAAATTCCTTGATTATGGTCTACTGATTTCGGAAGAGGAATCAGCTATGTATATGCTTTCCTTATGTTAGGATATCTTACTCATAATTTGTTTTACAGAAATCAGGGTCGGGAAAAGGAAAAGAAAATAAAGATCCGAAAAAAAAAATAAAGCGTAATAACGAAGATCCTATACCAGATCCTAAAAAGATTAAATTGTTTAGTAAGTTGAGTACCTGTTTGGAACGGATGAATAGAAAATTTAATGTGATTTTTTTTTCTCCAGAGCATTTTTCCGAAGGAATAGAAGCCAATAAAGAGTTCAATTTTTATGTTTCTTCCGAACATACGATCATGGATCTGTATCAACACCTTGTAGATGGACACTACATTTATATTAAAGGTAACCGCCAAAGCGGAAAGACAACTTCGATTATAGCAACCGTAAACCTTTTACAAGAAAAGTCAAACGCCAATGAGTTACTGGTACCTGATCTCGAAGTATACCTGATTACTTTCGGTGTCGGGATCGACATAAGAAATGGAAAAATGGCCTTTTGGTTGTCAATGTGCAAACTATTTCGTGCCAAAAATAGTAAACGGTTTTCTTTCAATGATTCAAGAGAATGTGGAGCAAACGTCTTCGTAAATTTTTTTTAAAAAAAAAGAATGGGTCTCCTATTTCATTCATAATCGACGACTTTTCTAATGTTTTTGAGGAACCATTAATTCTAGAAGAATTTATCAATACGTTACAATTACTCAAGAATCATTCAACCTACTGTGTGCATTCATTTGCACTTGTGGGGGTTGGTCGATTTCCAATACAAACTGAGCTTGTAACCAGGAACATTATAATCCCGTGTTTTTTTAATGAAAGTGAAATAAGGATGCTTCTTAATCAATATAGCGAACAATATGGTATTAATCTTGACATATGTAGAATTTCTGAAGACATTTATGAATGCACTAATGGCCACAAAGGTCTCGTTGGCGCTTGTTACAAGGCGATAGAAACAGAAGTAATGATGGGTGGAAATGAGCTATCATTTGATCAATAGATGAAGTATTCATCAACAAGATTAATAAAGTTTATCAAGGAGCTTAGAGCTTACAAATCTATTGTTCGAGTTATTAAGAGTCTTTCATCGAAACAAACGGACATTATTAGCATTGTTCTCTGCTACGGAACCTACACTTACGAGGTGGGCTCAGCTATTTGTCAGTTACTAATGCACGCATGTTACTTACTTTCTTTTTGCTTTCGGTAAAGTGTAATAATGAAGATGGCGAAATATATCGACTTCTCGCGGAAGGAATCGTTGTTTCTAAGTCCGTAAATGAAGATTACATAGAAATGGAGTTTTCGTCGCCGATTCTCCGAAGTATAATACTCTCCATGATAAGCGGCCCTGATATTGACATAACAAACCCACCACAAACTATAAATAAAATTGACATTAATTGGTTATTAGAAAACACTATCGAAGTAAGTATTTTATTAAATTTGGTTTTGCATATAACAATGAAAATTTTGGCTAAGTAACTCGCATTATATAGAATCTCGCCGTTCAAAATATCTTCGCTCCCCAAGCTCTTAACGCCGACAATAATCCGTCAGAGTATGCATTTCAGGCTGAATTTTCAGCTGTTCTCAAATATTTACTATCCAATGTTTACCCTGTCCTACAATACCGTGTAATCGTTGAAGCAAAAGAACGTGACATTAACGGCAATCGACGTAAACGGTTGGATATTTTTCTCCGCGATCACGATTTACCGACATATGGTTTCGAACTTGTTGTAAACAAAAAAAATTTTGAAGTACATTTGGATCGTGCCAATTATTATAAAAATCTGCATGGATGTTTCATGTACTTGATTAACCTCTGTACGAATAGCACATTAGTTGATAGGGTTGAATCGGGACATCAAGAAGTGACACTCGTTAACATAATATACGATATAAGTAACAGAAAAGCTGAAATAGTATACGAAGACTACAAAAAATCTATATCAATTAAACGTTCAGCATGGAAAGTAGCATTTGATTGAAATTTTGTGAATAGGATTTTGATTATATTTCTAGGATGTAAATGTTTAGAAAATTACTATTAGGTCATTATTTTCTAAAATTTAAAACTGATGTTATATCTGATATTAAAACTTAATTAAAAGATTGTTACAAAACACATAATAGTGTGAAATTTAATTTGCATTACATTAACATACAGCCGCACCCCCCTAAGTGCACACCCCCAAGTGCAAGTATAATACTATGTAAAACCTCTCTAAATGCATGATCCAGTTTGGCCCCAACTTATAAGAGTCCTATATATTTTACTCTATAAATGCAAACACTCTCTAAGTGCAAAATTTTAATTTTTTTACTATGGTCCCGACAGCATGCACTTAGAGAGGTGTGACTGTACTGTAAAATTAGAAATCGCAAAAAAAAAAAAAGTTATGATTTGCGCTAGTAACACACTTCAGGCATTAGAACAGATAAACCATATTCTCCCTCACCCGTTTTGTTTGTGGCATCTCAACAAAAGAACAAAGATTGGCCAATTCAATCTTAGTTACAGTAGTTACAGTAGAAGTATGCTTATTTTTAAAAGTTTTTTTCTATCGGTCCTATCAGATAATTCCGGATTAATTTATGGATAGAATAATTTGCGCAATTGAAACTTAAAAAAAAAATTTTTTTGAAAATTTAAAAAATGGATAGTTCAGTATATACACTTAAGCTTTTTGCCGAGCATTCGCCGTGTATTTTAGCATTCTAAATAATTAATCTTTTATTAGAAAGGCTATCAATGTTAATATTTGAACCCATCTAATATAATAATTACTTACACATCCACCCATTATAAAATTAATATTATTTCGAATTATATATAGTTAGATTTTGTTCTTGTTCCTCCGATTGATGCTGGAATAAAAATATTTTAGTTACTTCTTTTATATCAGTGGCTAATTTACGGCAAGAAATTCATCATAATTTACGAACCTTTCCTTTTTCTACTCCCCAAGCATCTTTATAAATTTTTTGGCGTTGTGTCTGAAATAAAAAAATAGCTTAGTATACTAATCTCATAGATAAACACTTCCTACGTATTATTTATTGTGGCAGATTAAAATGAAATTCAGATTAAAATGAAAGAATAATATAAAATCTCGAAAAATAATTTTTTTTGGTGTGTATTTTTTAGGGTTAGGGGTTAGTATTAGGAGTTAGGATTAGAGTAAAATATATTAAACAAGTATAAGTGGGTTTTAGAAGGTTAGAA